CACAGACAACCTCTCGTCAATATGCGTTTTTTGCATTGCATTGCTGCAAAAAACGCATAAAAATGCTATTCCTGAAAGTGCTATTCCCTTCTTCGCCCTCTCCACTGAGCAAAACCGATCGGTATTTCGGCCAGAACTGGTTCTTATCTCAAAATGCTACGCTTAAAAATTACGGCTTCAAAGTCAAAGTATCCAGGTGCATTAATATCATTGGGACAAATTTTGTTAAGAAAAATTAAAGCTAGTCAGTAACCACAAATTCATTGGGTTCGAAAAAATGAACAGAATGAGTCAAAGTGAATCTCTCTCACTGACTGGACTTAAAAAAAAAAAAAAAATTAAGCCTCAAGGATACCGATTCAAAATATAAAAAATGAAAAAACTTTATTTTTGTTGGTATGCGTCAAATCACAATGAGATTTCATGAGTTTCCAAAACTGTGCACGTTGCTGTCATGTAGTATGTATATTTCGATCAGGAATAAGGAAATGCCTTCGACGAGCAGAAGCAACAGGACAGAAAACTTTTTGCATGATCGAAGTACGAAACTAAAATGGCATGTGAATCCACTTTACAAGGTCAGTGACGAACTCACATCCTAGTAACCATGCAGAATTCGTGCCAAAGGGCACTACCCAATCTATAATCCATAAAATGTGGCCCTGCACGGGGATAGCTAGAAAAAAGCAGAAAATTTCGTGCTTATCCCTGTCTGTTTGCTTTTATATTTCTGTCTTAAGCTCTTTATTCATGAATTTAGCTTTTTATCTTTGTGGTATGATGCCTTTCAACTGGACTGGGCATCATTCAGCAGCGCTTTGTAGCTCTTCGGCTGAGTTCCATACGCCTTGCCTCAATTCTTAACCAACAGAGCAGTGGGCCTCTTGCGCTGCTTTTTTTACACTTCTCTATCTCTAATATTTTGATTATTTTACGTTTAGCTCATGCGTTAACCTGTTTTGTTTCCCATTTGTTCTACTGATCTATTTTCTTAAAATAACTAGTATGCACAGCTCAGGTGAAGACAATCAACATCGACGAATCGGAATCCGAATCCGTTGCATCCTTATCATCGTGGCGATCATGCTCACGATCAGAACATTCGTTTGACAGTGGTTATAAAAGTAACGATAATGCCAAGGAGCGGGAAATGTACAAGGATAAGAATTTTGAGAAGGTAACTGTTTTTTCTGCTGTTTCCAGATTATCCGACAATTCATAAATCCAGTAAACAAAGAAGCCCTTCCTAAAGCACGAACTTCTGGACTTGACCGGTCTCGAAATAAGCTTGAGATTTGTAATGACTGGCTATATGACCATACAGGCATTTCCTATGTTGTACCAACGTAATCGACGCTTCCTGATGTTTGGCAGAAGAAGCAATCCGAACACATGTAACTGACCAAATTTTCTTGTTTCACAAAAAAGAAGAAATCATTTCAAGCGGTTTTCAGCTTCTTAGGAACCAGGAAATGAATTTCCACGAAGCCGCAACGGAGCTGCTTGATGCGATGAAAGCACTCGGCGCTGGGGAAGAAGTTAACGCGCTTGTTGAGAGGACTCTGGAAGCCTGCGAGCATGAACTGGAAAAAATGCACATCGATGGAGAAGCCGAGCAATCGTGCTAGCTGATCGAGATACCTGCTCAGCTTGTTACTGCGTCCACTTCCAAGGGTTACCTGAATGGTTGGAGTCTGTGAAAGCCTCTCCATGCAACGTCAAAGGCCTGACTCAGAATGCGAAGAGTAGCAATTCTGTTACTGAGCCAAGCATAATCGTTTTTTGTGTGCATCTTCTCACAAACAAACTTGCCGTACACCGGGTTTCATAGTTTTCGATTACACAGTGAGTCTCATAAAGAAGTTTAATATACAAATATGCAGCAGTGTGGACAAAGAACGATAAAAAAAAGCCGAAAGCCAACAAAAAAGAGGGGGAGGGAACAAGAGCTCGCAAATAATGAACATAGCAAAGGAAAGCGCTAAAAAAGATCTGGATATGGGTTACACAGCAACTGAGATAACAACAGGAAAGCATATCGGGAAATTTTTACAATAATTTAATAGATATATCAGGAAAAAGGGAGTACAGCTATCAACACTGCTACTACCAAAAAGACTCTGTCAGACAAGCAGGCATAAAGTCCTCTCTTTCAGTGCTTCCGTAGATCAGCTATACAGAAAAGTGAAAAGAGACTG